ACGAGAATTTTTTGGAGTGAGGAATGACTCACTGGTAGAGAGAAAAGCCTCTTGTAAGACCTTATCCTTCTTACTTCCAGTTTCGTTTCCGTGACAGCTCCCTGGCGTGACACTTTGATCATTACTGTGCTGTTCCGCTTCCGCCAAGTGTTCTCCGCTCAGTTCGCTTTCGTTTTGATTATGACTACTTTGCTGAATAGTGACAACTCGTTCCCTGAGCTGCTTAACGCGCTCGCTGGAAATCAGCTCTTGCACAAAACCGGGGATCGCCTGAGGTTGGCCTAGGAGACCTCTCTCATGCCAGGACATCTGTATATCATTGGCAAATGTCATGAATTCGCCCAAAATTTCAGCGTGTTCTCTACTGTATTCAAATCCATTGGCGTTGGTTAAAAATTGAGCGAACCAGTCCCACTCAGCTGGGTCGCAATTAATCAAGTTCTGAGGATTATTCATCCTTTTCATCTCCCCAGAAATAGGCCCAAATGACTGGGAACCCTTCACCTGAAGAGCCGGTCCGTCCTCTTTGTTTTTCCATTCCGCAACGACTTGGCCCCAATTTTCTCGAGATGCTATCTGAATGCCGCGAGTTAAATGATTTATCATATGAGGCGCTGATGTGCCGTAAATCGCAGGATGGAAATTCTTGATGGCTGTAGTGGCGACGTAAGGCGTGTCTTCCACAAGACAGGACTGTAAGAGAGGGTGATCCCTGCCTTTGATTCTAACGTGCAGAGGGTGCTGGGGTAAATATTCGATCATTTCGTCGTGAATGAACAAATCTTCTGATTTGGGAATGATCACGATATCCAGATCTCCAATATCATCCGTTGCTGGGCTTTTCAAGTCTTCGACAGCACTTCCGTAAAGTCGAAACATGACACCGATACTTTCGTTTGCAAACGCTTTGCTGATAAATTCAGGAATCTTTTGTAACAAGTAACACAGAGTATGTTCAGTAAATTCCTTCCATATATCACCTTCTTTCCCTCTCTCTCCTAAAGACTTAAAGATAAGGTTTAGTTCCTGAGTTTTCGCGTCTTCTCTTGCCGTCGCCATCTCTTCTGGTTACATTGGTAACTAGCCGACTGCTGACTTCTGGAGCAATAAAAGTTATTGTTTCGATTCTATTTTTGGAATATTACATAAATCCGGAACTAGATGTCAAGAACAAACTAATTTTGACCTCTGACAAGCCTTTTAAGGTCCCACTGACTGCAGAAATGTAGTCGTCACTTTAATTTGCCCTTTTATGGAAGAAAACAGTATTTAGTCTTGTTTAAATTGCCCAAAATTGTCCTGGAAAGAAAGGCTAGTTGTTACATTTTTCTCTTTTTATCACCGTTCAACAGTGTTTACATTCTAGAGCAAATAGGCATCCTCGGGTGCTCTGATGGAAATGAAAGTTTTCGGTTTCCTTACAGTGGCGAGTGATTCAGTTCTTCCCCACTCATCCATAGGCTTTGATATAGATTGTGTTCCCAAAAACAGCACAATATGCTACTAGCAGTGTTCGTATATTTCTAAAATTATGCCAATAATTATGCTAGTTTTTGTAAATTATGCTCATTTTAGCAAAAAATGCAGAAATCATGCTTCTAATTTTACTAACGTCTTCAAATTTGGTAAAAACAGGTAAATACCTTTGCAACAGACAAATGACGGGTCAAAAAAAGGTAACTGCGATGCATGATCAATAAATGACAATTTTGTGCTGCAAAACTAGTCAAAAGAGAGGAGTTTTTTTTTTCAAAAAATCGATGAAAATTATGCTTTTAATGACTTATGCTAGCACAATCCATCAAATCCCACCCATACAGGCTATAGGAGGGATCAAGTGCCCTGCGGGCTTGCATTTTTCAAGATCGTGCTACGGTTATTACCAGAATACTTAATGTAGGATGTTGTTCCTTGTAGAAATCAGTTTATTATTTTGTTACCTGTGATGAGCAGATACTTCGTTACAGTTGACAGAATCATTAAGTGTAAAATAAACTAGACAGAGGAAACAAATGGCTGGGAAATGGCGCAAACTTTGGACTTGGCGAAGCCATTATTAAAAGCAATTTTGGGTGGGTGCAAAGACTAAACAAAATTAATCAACTAGATAACAGCAAGCGAGCAATGAATTTGAACCAAAGTCGTTGGAGGTAATTAGAATTATCCAGAGTTTATTAAAGATGGCTTATAACTTTGGTTTAAAAGTCGTCCGTCGCTTCATGTACAGTTGAACCTCCATGTGCGATTACCTCTCTAGTAAGGGAAAAAAATTCCCAGAGTACAAGTCAAAGCCTTATCGTTGGCACTTCTCGTATAAGCGCCGTAACCTGCGATCAGGCGGTCATCTTTTTGGAAGCGACTCTATCCCCGAAAAAAGAACACCTGATCGCGGTTAAAGCGAACGTGGGTCCGCGACCACGTTTTAGGATGACGCTTTTCCCCTTACTTTTAACCTCTTCTAAGCGACGACCTGACACAACCTGATCTCAGTCTGTGATCGCTACAAATATACTACGCTAATGTTAGCTAAAACAGTATCTCCTGCGTTCGTCGGCCAAAAGATCTTAAAATGCGATAATCCAAGACACCAGCAATGTCTTGTTTACAAATTTGAATGTGACCTGTGCGATGCAGGTTATGTTGGCTACACATCTCGCCACTTACACCAGCGAATTGAGGAAGACAAAAGCGCAATTTCATCCATCGGCCAGCACTTTCAAAAAACATTTCGTTTGTTCCTTTGTTCCCTTGTTCCCTTGGTCCCTTGTTACCCTGTTTCCTTGTTGCCTTGTTACCCTGTTACTCTGTTCCCCTGTTCTCTTGTTCCTTTGTTCCCTTGTTGCCTTGTTATCCTGTTTTCCTGTTTCCTGTTCCTTTGTTTCCTTAGCTTGTTCCCTTGTTTTCCTGTTCCCCTGTTCTCTTGTTTCTTTGTTCCCTGTCCCCCCGTTTTCCTGTTCCCTGTTCCTTTGTTTCCTTAGCTTGTTCCCTTGTTTTCCCGTTCCCCTGTTCCCTTGTTCCTTTGTTTCCTTTCTCCTCTGTTTTCCTGTTTCCTGTTCCTTTGTTTCCTTAGCTTGTTCCCTTTTTTTCCCGTTCCCCTGTTCTCTTGTTCCTTTGTTCCCTCCCCCCCAATCATTAATTGGACTTGGCTCCAAAATGTTGAGATTTTCTTTTAGTCAAAATAAACACCGACATTGTTTGGTGAGAAAATTGCCGATTTAAATGGATTTAAAGAGAACCATGTCATTTAAACTTGAGTTGCTGTGACGCCCATGAATAAACCACGTTCGCCAAACACGCAAACGTTTAGCAAGGTGGGGAACGCCTTCAATAACATTTATCAACACACCCATTTAAACAACGTTTGAAATATAAGACTCTAAACATCCTGCAGCAAAAGAAGATACATAGCTCCAGACTTTGTTTCCAAAAAGCTTGACTAGATGATATTAAAGTCTTATCTGAATCGGAATATAAACGAAGAAATCAGTCTCGCCTGAAAGTGGCCGGTTGTAGTGAATCTGAAGATAAACGTCGTTGAATCCTCGCCTTGCCTAATCAGGGACCTCTCGTCACACCCATATTAAATATTTAAAAATAATATTTGTTGTCGTATTTTATTGACGTGTGTAAACATTAAGTTCATTATTTAAGGCATTACATTCTCTTTAGACTGTTTTCCTACTCATTCAAATTCCTACAAATAAATACATGGAAGCTTCAGAACATCAGTGTTTACAGGAAACGGAGTTTGTTTTTCCGGAAATCGGAGTTTGTTTGTTGTTTTGTTGTTTTTCTTTTTCGAAAATCGGAGTTGTTTTTGAAGATCGAAGTTAGTTCTTTTACGGAAATCGGAGTTTGTTTTTAAAAATAAGGGTCTGTTTCTGAAAGTGATCAACGTTTCCGTTTTGAAAATTAAGCTAGGTTGTTCGTTTTGTGCAACGTGTGGTCCATCAAACTGGCGGCTGTAGATACTGTGAAGTTTCTCGTGAAGAGGTGGCCACCTGGTGGATGTTTGCTAATTTTTGTTCCTTAACGCGAAGGAGGTACTAAATATAGATAAATAGTCGTTGCTCTTTAATTTTTAGGCCGCTAATTCGCAAGTCGTAGCTTGATTTTGATCAAAATACTAGCCATTACAGTCAAGCCAGGACAAGCGTATGATTCCATTTATGAATGTATTATTCAAATGTTGAATCAGATTCATCTCTCGTTCCTGCATGCTCCTGTAATGAGCAGTGAATAGACCTCTCCCGCATTAAATTGTAAATAATTGTAAATATCTTATTATCCACTCCCCTCAGGGCTTTTCAGGGATAATTTACAACACTGGTTGGGGGACTTTGCCAGACTGCTTAAGGTGCAGTTTACAAGTAGTGAAGGAATGAGTAATGATGCCCCCATACATGAGTGTGAAAGTGAGATAGGCCACTACACCGGGCACTACGTGCCCTACTCTTTACGAAGAGTGTGTGGGTTCTTTAACGCCCCACAGATTTAATACATGTGCGAGGGCTTGTGAGACGGGGCCTACGGTTTATCGTCCTTATCCGAGAAGACTAGAGAGTCTAGCCGTTTGCAGATATTATTACAAAGGCAGCACTTTCTCCTCAGTTATTTAAAGACCCTGAGTGTTGGTCCGGCCGGGGTTTGAACCCGCGACCTCCCGCTCAGTAGACCGGCGCTCTCCCAACTGAGCTAACCAGGCGGCCCAGTGAGCAAACATAAAGAAATGAGGACGAGACTCGGGTGGACAATTTCACACACTCTATACTTTATTTTCATACACATCATTTTGCCATCTCCGCCCGCAAATAGCAAAAGCTGGACGAGGCGAGCGGAGAGGAAAGGTTACAGCAGTCATAACAGATAATATAATAATTGTAAAGTAACTAAATAAACTATTTGGATAAATAAGAATTACAGATAAAGAAGCTAAAGTTACAAAATATATAGTCTTACACAATGATATTACAATCAAATTGACTATTAACAAAACCTACCGATCATTAGTGCTTTGAGTCGAGGATGCAGAATTTGCCTCTTTTGGGATGATTTTAGTGAAAATTATTAACAAAAGGACAGTAGAAAAACGACTCATTAAGGTAAGAAGCAGGAGCTCAAAATTAAACGTCCATCTTGGCTCCTGACCGCTGACCTCCTTCATACAAATCACTGGTCCACCCCGGCCTCGAGTTGGTGCCTTTGTTTACAGGAATGCGGGAAAAGTCTATTCATACTCGAGGTAGTTATGAAATTTCTACCAGCTCAGCTTTCTTGAATTTGATGTAAATGTCCTCAAAGCATTTTCATCCATTTGACTGAATACAGAGCGGTTGTCTTTAAAACATTCACTGCTCATGACGCATGTGGGAATGCAGATTTGAATTTGATATAAGTTGCGTCAACTACTAACGGGTTCGTTTTCAAATAATCTATTCATTAATGGAATCTTTGGGGTACGCTTGACCTAGCTTGACTATAACAGTTAAAAGCAATGTTTCGGCAGTAAGGTGCTGTTTGGTCAAAATGGTCCTTAAAAATGTTGCTTCTTGTTTTTGTTCGTGTGGGAGAAAGACCTCGCGTTTTTAAAACTGGTAGATCAAATACCTTCTTGCAAAAAAATCTAGGCATCTTGATGTTGACGATAGGAACAGGAGCTCATCCCTTAACACGAATCCTCTGCACTCGTTGTCGCGGAACCGTCGCGGTCATTCACACGTACACGTGACACAAAATAGCGCTCTGAGTGTGGCGCCAAGGATAAAACAAACCGCCGGTTAAAACATATATAGCCCAATTTTCAGAAAAACGAACTCAAATATCCAGGGAAACAATCTCTGATTTTCATCAAACAATCTCAGTACAAGGCATAGAGCTACCACTCCTCAAGGAGTACTTCTTTTCATAACATTCTTACCTACGGTAATGGGCCCTTTTTCAATTGATGGATGGCAAACGACGCATGTGGGAACTTGGAAAGAAAGGATACCGTAAAATTCCGAAAATAAGGCCCGGGGCTTATATTTTTCAAAGGCCCTTTTTGAGAGGCTTATTTTTGGAGGGGCTTATATTCGGAGGGGCTTATGTACAGAGTGAAATTTGCGTTTCAAAATTGATTGGGCTAGCTTTTAGTGAGAAGGAAATTTACCATTTTTGCTTTGTTTTATATTCGGAGGGGCGATTTAACGGAGGGTTTTTTGCGTTACGATTTTGAGGGGCTTATATTTGGAGGGGCTTATTTTCGGAATTTTACGGTATTAGCTTTTTGTTCTCTTTGTTTTCTTGCCCCTCTACGTCGTTGTTTTTGTACCATGTCAACGTATTCTGCCAAAGCCCCATACGGACGTCTTTATAATTCGGACCCTTGCCTCTCCTGTCCTTTTTGGTATTCCGTGTTAAGGAGGATTGACTCTAAAACTTGAACGTGGTTGTTGCCGCAAACAATGTTGTCTATGCACTATTAGTCGTATTATACATTGGCTGTTTTCACACTAGAGACGGATTATTCTTGGATAATTCGCGTCAGAAAGATAATACGTCTTAATTTGAAAATGGAATGGTTTTAATTTTGGATGAACAATCCGCCTGACTTTGTCCATCTTTTTGCTATCCGTCAAACAGTTTTGAAGATGGATTATCAGTTTCTAGTGTGAAAACGGGCATTGTGGTTGCCTGACTGGCCTGCATCTGTTAAGTTTGATTTCAGGTTACTATTCTCGCACTATATCGACACAAAAAGCTATCCGCTATAGCGCTGTGACGGAAGGTTTTTCCACTTTGAAACGAATTTAAGGCTCAACGGGAACTCGGTGCTTGACTCACGATAAAACTGGGGAAAACTAGACTCAAATGGCAACTCGCTTGCGGGAAAGAGCCGTCACTTCTCTCGAGGTCCGGGATCAGACCACTAACTGGTACAGCAGTAGATAAAACAGACTAAACTTGGTTCCAACAGCGTTTATTCTTCAGCAGATCAAACAGCAATACCTCGGCTAGAACACGGCGAAATAATCAACGATGTAATCGGCGATGTAATCAGCAATGTTCGGCAATGTAATCGAAAAATCAGTTCAAAGCAACTTACTTATATGTGATTTTTACAACCATTGAAGACAAAAGAATACAAAAGAAATATAAACAGAAATCACTTAGAGTTAAATGAAAACTAAATACAAATTCTATTTTTAACCTGAAATCTTTTGTTACTGTTGCTATTTTAGAAAGTAAAAGTACTGAGACAAAGACCTAACCAAGGTCAGCAAAACAACGTTTATGTACAAAGTGTTACAATATGAATAAAATTGCAAGTCCAGCTATCGACTGTTTAAACAGGACAAGCGCAGACTAATTAGAAGTTTTCACCTTAAACAAAAACCAATTTAATTTTAAAATTACAAGACAGCAAAACCTTTCTTATTCAAAATTCGGTTATCACCTCTCCTTAACTAACGACTTAATGAAATATACTTTTGCAAATAAATATAACTAAGTCGCAATTAGAACGAGGTACACCTGTATCAAAGGCGTTACTATTGAATGTCGTCTGGTAGTTAAATCACGAAAAAATAGACTGAAGTCAAATAAACCATTATTAAGAAATTAAGTATTCTTTCAAGAGTCAACATTGACGTACAATGTATATAATTGAAAAGACAACGAACAATTACTTTTGTTTGTTAACACGGTTGGCTTTTCTATGATTATTACTTAGTGAACACAAACAAATGAAACAAAGGAAAGTAAAATGGCACGAACCTTTTTGCGGGGCTAAAACCTCTTTATGCAAATTCATTATAAATGACTAAGAACAACGTTAAAGCGAATATTTGAAAGCTATATATGATATTCGAGGCAAATAAAGAATTCATGGAAAATCTCTCCTTACAGCGCTTATCCGAAATGCGACTCTCCACTCAGAGACTGGCGCGGCGCAGCTTTGCTCCTTTTCAGACTAAATCGCCGAAATCACCGTTCTTATGTGAGAACAGAAGTCCTATCCCGTGTATGGTTATAGTGTCGGCGCAAAGGCTTTCCAGTGTGAACATAGGCTTAAACTAGCTTAATGATTCAGCTTTTTTAGAGGGTCTCCAATAAGTTTTTCGGGATGCGGGATTTCCCTTATTTGAGGCTCGGGATTCGGGATTTTAGAGAGAAATCGGGGCGAGATTTGGGATTGAAAGTATGCACGGGAGGTGGGATGCCAAAAGTAACCCTCGGGATTACGGGATTGCCCGAAAATTTGGGTCGGGATTACGGGACAGAAAAACCCTATTGGGGACCCTCTTTTTATATTGGACGCAAAACCTATGGTCACTATTTATAAAAACGGTCGAAACCGAAATGAAGGTCAGCACTGTACAATACACGAGCAAGGTCCGGTCGATCTGGCTCCATGTCCACATATAAACATTACTTCAGTCCAGGGGAATGTCCTTATCGAGATTAACCTCTTTGGTTTCATCAGCTGAACTTGGAGTCAAACTGTTGAAAAATCGGGTGACAAACTGGGTCCCTATGCCAGCTGGCAACAGGTTGGTCAAGTCGAAAGGATCGGCATCAGGGTCTGGATTAAGCAATCTTTCAGCTAGGGCTTCCGCGTTCTCCGGTGCAAAGTCATCTTGTTTCAGTAGGTACTTCCACGTTTCAACCACACCTTGGATTGCATCAAGCATTCGGAGGCTCATATTTGGCTCAGGATTCAACGAAACTTTCCAGTAGATTGCGCTCCAGTTTGCTTCAAACATTCTACGGAATTCTGCAGCGTTTAAGTTGAGGGTTTTGATCATTTCTTTGAGATCACCTACCAAGGACCTTTTGAGAGGGTCGAGGGATTCAATTGTGAGATCATCAGCGTTAAAAGCCATCGCAGTTAACTCTTGGCTGCTGGCAAGGTAGATGTCTTTCAGATCATGAAAGCGATAGCTCTGCCTTGATGAGCTGCTAACTGGACGAGTGTCGTCCTTTTTGAGAGTACCTGGTAGCACCATGTGGCTATCAAATCCGTCGGCTTTGGAAGCAGTTTTGACTGCCAGTCCGTTGCTTAAAATGCTTTTCTCTTCCAGCGGTGCTTGAACTGCAGATGCCTCTTTCTGAATCAACTGTTTAGCTGATTGCATGGGATTTTCCATGATCTTCTCAACTTTTTTAGCCAATGCATCAAGAATCTCGGGATCATCAATGTAATCTTCACTAAACAGGTTGTAAGATCTCACAAAAAAATGGGGCAACTCTTTCTTTGTGAGAGCCTGCGAAAGGTTTCCGAAGAGCTTCATCACGCACTCGACTCTGTTACTTTCGATCCACAGTTCGGCACCGGTTTCCTCGATTGTTTGCAGAAGTAGGTTCTTCAAGTGAAATGTCACCAAACCCTTTGGATCCTTGAGAAAAGCACGATGAAATTTCTTCAAGCATCGGTAACACTCGCGCTGAATGTCATTCATCGCTTGGCTTAACAGGTATTCTGCATGGCTAAAGGAAATTCTGAAGTCACATTTTGGATTTCCGCCATCCTTCGGAGGCTTTACTACTAAATGGAAGCCCTCCTGGACAACTTTGTTAATCACGTCAGGTGAGGGCCATTTTCGTTTTCGTTTGATCCAATCCTCTGAAACTCGCGGCCACCCAGGACATCTAAGGGCAGGAACTAAATCAGCTCCACCAGCAATGGTTGCTTTTTTACTGTCTTTTACATCTGTTTCTTTCCAAGGAGCCTTGCTTTCTTGACTGAAAGGTCCAAATATGTGTTCCAAAAGAATGTTTTTTTCACCTGAAACACTCTTGAAATCTGAATAGCTAGGCTCCCCTTTTTCTGCAAAGGGCGGTTTCGCTGTGTTAATAGACTCACTTCCACTCTCGTCGGTGCCGTCTTCATTCTGTCCCTGTTCTTTTTTCTCGTTTACACCTGTTTCACTTACTTTCCTTGGCATGGTGTGTTGTGCTGATTGGTAAGGGCTTTCTGACAACTCTCCCATCGTTGATTGACTTAAAGTCGTACCTAAGT